GGGACACTATGTAATCCTCGGAGAGACTGGCCAGCGTGTCACCTACAAAGACTGTTTTTCCCACTCCAGCATTTCCCACCAGCATTAGTGGCTGTCCCTTCTCAAGTAACAACTCTATGAAATATCTCAGACGAGTTGTCTCTGATGTGTGAACCACAACTCTCTGGGAGGAAAAACAGAATAAGAAAAAGGTCAGAGAGACAGGCTTTCCAAAATTTTAAACCTGAATCAACATAGCCCTTTTGGAATTGAGACCAAATGAATTCTGAGTTCTAGTTAACACCCGGTAGGAGACAATCTATCTAATTTTTTGTTTCAAATGATCAGTTCAGACATCATGGCTTGAATAGGACAACTGGGCAGTGACAGCCAAGTGTTATAGCAAAAGCAGCTGATTTATATTTTCTAAGTAAGTACCAGCACCCAAGACTCTCTACCATGGCATACTTTGCTCAGTCTTGTGTTCGTCATACAACGGAACACAGTGGATGCTCAAGAAACTGTCCACTACTCTTTAGGAACTGAGAAAACATTTGAAAAGTCAAGCTACGTACAAACAAAAATTGGAAGCAATGCCTTGACCCAGTAAGCTTCAGTGGCAGAACAATGAGGCGCATCCACGCTAAAGGGGTTCAGTGCAAAGAGACACCAGTTTGGAGAAAATGGTGTCTTTAAGTGAAATAATCACAAATCCAAAGAATGGCTGAAACTCATTGTGCTTTGTTTTGTTAAAAATTTTTATAACAGTGTTTCTGTTTTGAAAACTGGCTATTTATTTTGATTCCACATTATTTCACAAAGAATTTGATGTGGCTTCCAGGAATACGATAAAATGAATATAAATAAATAAAAATGAAAGTCAGAGAATGCAGACTAATATGTAAGATCAGGAAAAGGGGTAGCAGATGTAGATATGCAGGAGACAGAATCCTGCATGGTGATTAAGAGAGAGTTGACAATTTCCTGCATTTCTTGGTGGTCAAATGAAAAAGGGGCTAAAAAAACTACATGCAGGATTCATACTGCTCATAAGAAAAATATACAAATTTTTATAATGGATAAAGTTCTTCCCTGCGTGGTTAGCATATACTGAACACAACTGAGTATTTTAGAGATCATTCAAGATCATCTTTATGACTATGAACATTTACTCTAGAACTTTATTTGAATTCAGTGATACTCCCTGGATCTGTTGAAAGGCACAAACTGGTCTGTGCTACACTGAAGAGTCCTAGGCGACTTTTTAAAAATTACAGTTGATTTTCTAATATTTTTTCCTTTCTTGCTGCTAGATGTTATCATTTACTTTTTAATTTGGCTCTTGGCTCTTTTCTTCACATATTACTGCCAATAATTAATACTTACTGAGAGCTGAATATATGATAGGAACCATGCAAAGCACATTACGTGCATTATGCCCTGATACAACAAACCTATGAAGAGAGTTTTCTTACTATTTTCATTTCAGAGATGATGAAAGTAAAGCCGAGAGAACATTAATAAGTTGGACAAAAGCATACATCATGGTACTTGGATTCAAGCCCAAATCTGTCCGGAGCCAGAGCCCTGTCTTACCTACCACGTGGAACACTCTTCAGAGCAGAGCTGTACACACATGACTTATTCTTGCAGGGCCTCTCTTTCTCCATATGTAAAAAGGCTAGTAACAGTCTATGCCTCAGAAAGTTGTCATAATGATTAAATTAGCTGACCTATGTAAAGCACTTAGACAATGGCCTGACACATAGCAACAGAATATTAGTATTTGCTATTATTATTATTGGCCCAACATGGTTCTCCTCTAATATGTTAAGAAGCTGTTAATAAAATAACCATATCTGGTGCAGTTGTACATAAAGTAAGACTACAGAGTCCTGATAGGTTATCTATTAAATCAAATATATCACCGATAAAGCACACCAACCTGTAATACCAGTTTTTTGGTCTTTGTGTGTGTGTGTGTAGGCGTGTTTCTTTTGGTCAGTTATAAATCCTCACCTTTCAACCAGCTAAACAATATTATTAGGTGGCTGAGGTCTAGATGTTAGGTAGTTAGATAAGTGGGGGCATCGGGCAGATAAGGTGTAGGAGAGGAAGATGGCAGTAAGCCTGCTTTCAGCTAAAGGGGCTTTACTTCCTCTAAATGAGTGCCAGAAAGAAACCAGTTAAAACCTGTCAGCTGCAACTGCACGGTAGCAACAAGGACCTAACTGGCCATGACCCAATGATCACTGTAGTATCATAAGCACTGTGGTTTAGGCCCCCACCATGAGTTCTTCTGTGCACATCAAGGGTAAAGACATGTGCAAAAGTGGACCAGCATGACTAAGCACTCCACGGGCAAGAGCTATCCATCAACCAAGAGACCGCCTCTAAGCGAGGGTGTAAGAGAAAGGGGCAAGCGAAGACCACTACTATCCACACTTGGATCAGCCCGCCTCCCGTTCTTGGAGGTGTACTTTCCCTTTGCTAATAAAACCTTTAAAATCTCTTGCTATACAACGCTCCCATCTTCCATCTGAATTCTTCTCTTTCAGATAAGACAAGAACTGGAGTCTTTTCCCTTCCCCTTTTGGGGTAACATAGATAGGCTAAGCTAAAACAGAGATTTCAAAATACATATAAAGCAGGTAGATCAGACCCTGCTGGTTGCCTCCCAGCACCCACTGGTCTACTTGTCCCTTCCTGTCAGAGGGACAAGTCCCTGCCCCTCCTTCACACAGCTTCCAAGCTCCCCCCGGCTCCTGCAGCCATGTAACGACTCATCAAGGCCAACTATCCCATTACCCTGACCTGAGACTGGGTTGGGGGTGCCGTGTGGACCCCTGGAGAACTCGATGCAGGAGGCAGTCTGTCCTGGGGTTTCTGAGAAGGGTGTCCTTAACTCTTAATAAAAAAATATGAGAAACTCTTCTTTCCCTCTAACTCTTCTACTTGGTGCCCCTGGAGCCATCTTGAGGTCGGGGGGAATCAGTCTTCAAATGAAGCCAAGGTAAGACAGGAATCTGAATCCTTGGTGACAAAATCATGTCACAGAACTCATTCATCTTGGGGCCTTCCCACCTCTGAATTTCTTGGTTGTAAAATGTTAAAAGTTTCCTATGGTTAAGTGTTACAGATTGAATCGTACCCCACTCCCCAATCCTCATGTTGAAGCCCTAACCCCAGCATCTCAGACTGTGTCTATTTAGAGACAGAATCTGTAAAGAGGTGATTAAGTCTAAAGGAGGCTGACAGAGTGGGACCTGATCCAACCTGGTGTTCTTGTAAGAAGTTTGGACATACTTAACGACAGTGTCCAGGGATGTGTACCCAGAGAAAAGGCCATGTGAGGACACAGCTAGGGTGGCCCATCTGCAAGCCAAGCACAGAGACCTCGGGAGAAACCAAACCCGCTGACACTTTGAACTTGGACTTCTAGCCTCCCAGACAATGAGAAAATTAATTCCTGATGTGTAAGCCACTCAGTCGATGGCAGTTCGTTACGTTGTCCCTAGCACACTAACATAGAGTAGGCCCCTAACTCAGAATGACTGGTGTCCTTATAAGACGGGAAATCTGAATACAGAGAATATACATGGGGCAAATGAAGGTCTGAGTAACGCCGCCACAAAGCAGGGAACACCAAGACTGCGAGCCAACCACCAGCAGCTAGGAGAGATTCTCCCTTACAGCCCCCAGAAGCAACCACACCTGCTAACACCTACTTCTGGAACTTCTAGCCTCCAAAACTGGGAGACAATAAGTTACGCTGCTGAAGCCACCTAGTGTGTGGTGCTTTGTTACTGCAGCTCCAAGAAACCCATACTTCGGCTTTTCTTTCATTTCACACTAACGGCTTCCTAATTAGCATAGAAATCACCCATATGCGTTTCATATGGCACTGCCAGAAATAGTAGGCTCCAGAATCAATCAATATGACCTGATTTTGAGAAAGAAGTCTAATGAAAAGGAAAGCAGACTGAGGCAGAATAAGAAGATGGTTAAAGAATAACTTGATACATAAAAATGTAGGACAGTTTAGAATGAGAAACAATTAGCAAACGATAAAAATTAATTAAGATTTCTGAGCTGCCCTGTGAATATGAAACACATGAGTAAGGAGACCAAACACTCATTTTATGGCTTGTGGGGGCAGAGGAGAGAAGGCAGAGTGAACAGGGCTGCTTAGGAACCAGTAAGGTAAGAAAAAAGAATCACTGAACTAATGGAAACAAGCCTCCAGTTTTTCTAGAACTAACAACATTTCTAGGAAAATCAAAAGAAAGCTGTTATTACAGAATTAAGCAGAAATGAAAAAAGAAGTTGTAGAAATACAATAACCATCTCACTAATCATTCCCTTGAGACTCTTCTCTCCAAAAAAGTATGTTATATGCTGACCATACCAACAGTAATTTATTGATCGGACAGAAGAAAGACTGCTTGAAAACAAACAAAAAAGGCTTGAACCAGTCCCATGTGGCTGGAAGATCACCGTGCTCCACACACTTACCTGCAGAGGTACATCTGAATCCATCGTGAGTTGGGGAATTTTATTGGCCCAAGGCAAGAATTTCTTAGTTTTGTGGTCCAGATAATAATCAAAAATGGTTCCCTGGGATGGAAACTTCACTGCTTTCATCTCTTTATGCCACCACCGACTGAATTCAGCTTGATAATCAGAAAGCTATGGGGAACAAGAGAAATTGTTAGTACAAACTTCAAGGCAATTTTGAACACATACAAAGCCCCTGCAAACACACAGGGACATTGTTTGCAGTGCATGGACTCAATTACAAATGGGATTAAGTAAATGACCCAAGGAAAATAAATACCCATAAGGAAGTTATAATGAGTGACCATATCACAGAGGCAGAGAGCTATCATTGCCATTTATCCATTAGGTACAAATTTTCTGGAATAACTACCAACTTAAAAAGAAGGTAAGGTGACCCATGGATCACCCCTAGAGTATTCGATTTACCAACAAGCTATCATGCAACTTACCCTGCTGTAAGACAGTAGTTATCAAACACTGGTGTTCATTTCTACCAATATTGCCATGAACTGATGGTAAAATGAGGAAAGCAAGAACAAAGGAACACTCTAAAAAATCAGAAACATTATTGATCTAAATACCATACTGTATTTGAGCTTATGGCCTTCGTGCGACTTTTGGTGTTAAGATATCCTTTCCTTTATAAAATCATGGTGATAATAAGTGGCCACTTTTAAATAAATGCCCTGACTTAGAGTTGCTGACTGTTGGCTTTTCTATTCCATTCCTTTTAATCATTATTGACATTTTGTTGATATCTGAAGGTTTACGTCTGGGAAGCCCTGTCATGAGGGTTGAGGGGCTGGAGACAGGCTTGGACTTGGTTTTCCAGCTCAGCACAGCTGAGGGGTCTAGCTGAAAATGTCACAAACGCCTGGCTTCCAGTTTATAGTTAGGAGACAGGCTCTCATTGCTAGAAGGTGCTTGTTTTTATCTGATGATGGGGGAGGAGAAACAGCAACTGTGTACCAGCAACTAACAAACCCTCTGTGTCTATGGATGACCTGGCCTAGGGACTCCCACATTCATGGGATGACCCAGCTAAGTGAGTTTCGGTGATCTCTGAAAACACTGTGCATGTCCACTGCATTCAGCAAGCTCATACTTATCTGAGACTTCAACTCCCATTTCCTCCAGAGACATGCTTAAGTCTACTTTAACTCTGGTGTCCTTATGTCCATGGACTGGGGCCCACTTACTGCACTAGGCTGAACGCACACATGAGCAGAGACGGGCAGGATGGCCAGAGGACAGGAGAGTGTGATCGGGGCTGAGAGGGGTGACCAGCATTGGCAGGGAGACCTTATCCCTCCGCCTTCCAAACAAGCTGAGCTACCACCACTCATGTGCCAGTGAGTGTAGGTTCATTTAAGTCATGTTCAGACTGGTGTCATAGGATTTTTTGTTTTAATCACTCTACAGAAGTTGGTCTTACATCAAGTTAGTTCAGAAGGTATTACTTATTATCTGTAGGCAGGATACACATGACTTCCACTTTCTATAAAAATGTGCTTTCCCTAACCACTCCATCAGCAAAGTGATTCTGAGGACAAATCTTGGAATTGTTCATTCACTCAACTAAAAGGCATGTTTCCTACAGCGGGGAAGAACACAGGCAGGGGTTCTGCTCTCACAGAGCTGATGGGGGGCAGGGAGACATGGGGACGCAAGGTGGAAGCAGAGGTTAAGTCGATCAAAAACAGAAATAAATAAACGGGTGCCTTGAAAGTAAAGTTTGCTGTAAGTCAGAGTATTGGGTGAATTTATTTTAACTGGATGTTCAGGGAAACCATCTTTGAGAAGAGACACAGATTAGGGAGTAGGCCACTCCAGGAAGCAGAAGGAGGTCAGTGTACACAAAGATGTCATGGTACGAAACAGCCTTTGCTCCAGAAACTGGCCAGTGCAGCTGGTGGAGTGGGAGGGGAGGGAGTGGCAGTGGAGAAGAAAGAAAGGCAGAGAGGCGGACAGGGCCAGATAGATCTAGAGGCCTTGTAAACAGTATTAAGTTTTTAAATTTTACCTTAAAAGCAATAGGAATCCATTAAAGTGTTTTCAGTTCTGGAGTGTATCATATAATTCAATTTATATGAAAAAAAATCACTTTGGCTGCTGAGTGGATAATGGATTATAGGGCAAGTACAGAAGCAAAAAGATCAGGGAGGAAGTTACTTCAGAAGCCAAGTGAGAAAAGATAATGATCGTTTATAGGAGACGCCAGGAGAACTGACCCAGACCTGTTTTGGAAGTTGCTGGCAATGGCGTGGGTTAAAAACAGGGGTTCTGAGTCCGTCTGTTGAGTTTGAACTTGCTTCAGACATTACTTAGCCACGTGTCTTCAAGCAGGCTAACTTGTCTAAGTTTCAGTTCCTTTTTGTTTTACAAAAAGGATAGTTGCACCTACATACACAGGTTTTATTTTTTTGAAAATTCAATGAGATAGCCTATTAAAAGCCCTAAGCACATTCCCTGACATAGAGTAGACACTCACATTTGTTAACTAAATGGCTCTCCTAGAACTATTTCTTAGGTTTGCTTCATTCATATTTCCAACTTCACACCCTCTATTTTGAATGCTTCGTAGTTAGAGCGCTTTTGAAAATTTAAAGATGATGATGGTGGTGGTGGTGATGTTGACTATTTATTAAGGACTGTCTGGGAGAGAAAGGTGACCATGTGATGTCCAGCTTCTGGCCTGCAGGCAGGGTAACTGGTCAGAAGACTGCCAGCTTTGGAGAGATGAAAAGAGGATCAGCAGGGAGGAAGGTAAGCTGTTATGATCAGGAATAGAAAGGTCTCAGCTGTCAACACCCCACTCATGTGATTTTACCTGGTTTTATAGTCCATGGAAAAGGTTTTTAAGTAGAGCAACTGGGAGAAATGTATCACTGAGGAAAAGAAAGACTACAGAGAAAGAGCCAACTGTGGGGTGGGGCAGGCGAAGGGCCCTGTCTCAGGCACACCGCGTGGGATGTGCCCGTGGAACAGCACCCCGCTGGTGCTGCCCCAGGGGCAGGTGGAGACAAAGAACCCTGAGCTCAGAAGAGAGATCTGGGGGAAGCCATGGCTTTGGCCTTGTCAGTCGAGGTTAGAACCACCAGCCTGAATGAACTTGTCTAACAATGCACAAGCTTAGGAGAGAACAGGACAAGCAGCATAGATTTATGACAACATTAAAAAAAAAAAACATAGGTATCGCATGTTACAATATTTCCTCCCAAACAAAACCGGTTGTGTAAACTATTTCTACACATACCTGATCTTGTAGCAGAGTGCCTCCGAATGCCCAGATACAAGCAAAGACAAAATAGATCTCATAAATTTCCTTTGGGCTGTCAGAAGGTACATTTTCAGGAGTCAACAAACATTCCAGAAGAGTACAAATAGTCTAAAGAAAAAGAAACAGACATTCTTCTGGGGCAACTTTTTTTTTCAATAGTGAAGTAATTGATAGGACTTGTTAACAAATCTACAGTATCCTTAGGAGATAATCTGAGTTTTCCCAGCTCTGTGATCTGCTACCTTGGGAGACACAAAAGTGACTGTGCTCTGGGCTGTTCAGTCAGTGGTGGAAAAACCTTGGCCACTTTCAACCAGACTGATCTTCTAGGTCACAACAAACTATTAAAAAAAAAAAACTAGTATTTTAAATTCTCCAATTGATTATCCTGTAATAAAGAGAAATACATATGATCAAAAAAAATGGGGATACAGCTTTACTCTCTTTTTTATAAACAGGGAGCCTACTACAGAGTATTCCACAGCCCACTTTCTCACTTTAAAACAAAGTAAAACAAAGGGCAGAAGAGGGTGTAGCTCAGTGGTAGAGTGCATGCTTAGCATATAGCAGGTCCCAGGTTCAATCCCCAGTACACCTCCTCTAAAAATAAATAAATAAGTAAATCTAATTATCTACCCCACAAATACATAAATAAGAACTAAAGTAACCATTTAAAGTAAGTAAGTAAGTAAATAAATAAATAACAAACAAACAAACTAAAGGCATCTTTCCTTTCCAATAAGTGTTGCCCTACAACGTCACTGAGAATACATACACTAGACGGAAAGGTGTTAATTAATCCTTTCCCTCTGATGGCCATTTAGATAACCCACTTTCCCTTCGTCCTTTGGCAGCTGTTTCCCCCACCTGTTGTCATAAATTTATCAAGTCGGACTGGCAGCCCTGGCCTTGTGGCATTTTTGGGACATGAGACTAAATTTAGCCTCGGAAGAAACACTGTTCAGGAACCTGTTCTTCATACCCTCCAGGTGAAACGGCTATGTGCTCTATTGGTCTGAAATACACTCCAGGTCTGGGGCAATCAGGTCGGTTCTGAGGAGGACATGACTGCCACCAAGGCCTTTCTCATATGAAACAACAACCATAACGAACATGTTTCAGAGCTCGTATCCTACAGCACAAAAACGGCTGCGTGAATTAGCACTGCCACAGACCCTCACAATCCATGAAACCCTCCCCCAGCTTTTGAAGGCAGCAGTAGACTTCTATCTCTATCATACACACAAGCAATGGAAGCTCCAACAAAGTCAGTCATGGGTGTGCCTTTCCCTCCCAACCACAAAAGATGAGGAAAATCCATGGTAACGTGCAAAATGAGTCCTGGACAAAATCTGGAAGTGTTTTTAAAATTTAAATAGTTGAGCACCTGTTACATGTTTCAATCTCTCTCTTGATTTCTATCATTTTATACTATGCCATGTTTGCCAATGTAAAATAATCTTCTAACTGAACAGAACTCACCAATGTGGTATCAAGAAAAACTACGTAAAAACCCTGAGGCTTTGCTATTTCTGAGTAGAAGCCATGTTGGTCTAACTAAGATGTGTTAAAATCAAAACGAGAAAGACTGCAAGGTCTCAACGTGACATTATCCATTGATCTGAACATGCTAATAACATGATTTCACCATTTTCTCCCAAACACAGTACTTGGAAAACATTTGAAGCTCTATGTCAGCAATTCATAAATTCATACCAGGCTGTGTATTCTGAAAGAGTTAACGCACCTTACCAAACATAGAGCAAAGAAGTATCAAATACTGGAAAACATAGCACTTTAATTTCTTAAAGTAGCCATTTAAAAAGCCATTCTCTTGTATACTCATTTTTGTCTCAGATTCTGTCTTTATATGTAGTCACAGCAAACGGACTACTTTATAAAAACAGCAGTCCAAAAGGAGTTGAGGATAAAATGCCACCTCTGAATACTACAGAAGGAGGAAGTGAGAGCAAAAGTCACATTACTTCCTACTGACCTATCTTCACACTGCTCTTGAATGAAGAAGTTCACACCACAGAGAAACACAAATATACAAGTCAACGTGAGAAAGAACCCGATACTTGCTTTTTTGCAAGTATTACACCAGAGGAAGTCTAATTAGGCTAACCACATAATTAATTCATTATGAATAAATTCAGACCTGCTTTCAGAAATAAATTATACTGCAGATAATTACTGTTGAAGACTATCGTTTACTTAATTGGTGTGCGAATTATCCCCAAACCCGAACTTTCTCTTCTTATTATGCTTGGGACTATTTCTAATTTAGCTTCCAACAAATTGTGCCACACAGTAACTTTGTGCGGCACCAAGTACTTCAAAATCAATTTTGCTCCTGAAGAGAAAAAAAATTAAGGCTTCTTATTGTAAACCTTTTGTGAAATTTTTTTCTTGTAAAGGCCGGGGAGAGTTCTTCTTCCCGCTGAGATTAAGATCACCACCTTCATTTCTGTGGGTCGTGCATTATTTTCATCCGCGTCCATAACAACACATCATACACACTCTTCACTCTCCCCAGCTGTCTCACAATGAGGATCAGAAAAAAATCTCTCCCAGAAATGTTACAAACTCTTCATCCAGACTGATCTGACTTGAGGACTATTATGGGGAGGGGGAGAAAAGAAAGGGACAAGAGAGTGGGAGGTCTGTGGGGGTGGCACCCACGAGGTGGACTTCAGAAACTTTCTCTTACTCGCTGGCCAACAATTTTAATTGCATGAATTTACTGCATTCAGAAAACATACTGAACACCTTCTCTGGGCCAGTTCCTTAGGACACAGAAAAATAAATGAGGCAGCTGTAACCCTTTTCTTCTTCTATACAAACATACCTAGGAGGGACACAATGATTCAATAAAGACAGATTTGGCATCTACTAGGTGCTAGGCATTACGGAAATCTCTGGAAACATAAAAATCAATAAAAGGTGTCTTCAGTCCTCTAGCTCACATTCCTGTGAAAGAAACAGACCACAAACTCAAACAATAATAGTGTGGGATACAGGCTTGTGATAGAGGTTTGCAAAAAGCACTGGGGAACACAGGGGCTGGGGGAGGAAGGGGGAGCAACCTAATCATTCCAGAAATCGTCTCATCTTTTTGAATAAGCAAGAACTTCTGTTTTGCTCAAGCCACACTACCACTCCAGGACTAGAGGGTTCAATGGCATAACCAAAGACAAACCTGCACCAGGTTGTTCTCTGGAATTGAAGTGATGGTTTTAAAGCTCGTTCTCAGCTTATCCAAGCACACAGGAACATATTTATCAAAAAGAATCGTTAAATTGGCCTTTTCTGACTGATGCTGCCTTCTGTCTATCCAACTGGCCACATACCTGAAAAAGAACACAGAAAAGCTTTTGTTGAGCACTGGGCTTGAAAAGCAGAATTCCACCCACTCAAAAGTGTGCCCCCTCCAACACAGCTTGGTCCAACACTTCAGGGAAAGGTTTAGTGAGTTCATTCTATTTCTCAAATGGCAAATATTTTTAAATGACCCTTTAAAAACTTGTTTTAATGGCCATTGAAAAGAATGTAAAAGAAATTCCTAACAGCACTTAGAAATCCAACATAATAGAGGATAAGTAGGCCATTACTGAGCACTTACAAGGAAGCACAGTTTGTCATTTCCTGGAGGACTGAAACTATTTTCAGAGGGTAGGCTTTATTTATGAAAACAGCTTGGGATTTTTCCTTGATTAAAATTGGCATCGATTATTAGAAATGAGAAATCAGTTACAAATAAAAAGGTGAAAATTCCATAGGGGCTATTTCCAAGTCCCTCCTTGTCCGCTGGACTCAGTGTAACTCAAATCTGATAGCTCATAATGTGGTTCCAGTAAGTGGCTCTAAAACGGTATTGCCTGCTTGGGTACATGCGTATTAATCTGAAGCTTATAAAATGTTACCACTTTGGATACATTAATAGCTCTAATTATTAATGTTAATTTATGTTATAAAAATAATATATTTATTATTTGTATAATAATGTATATTTATATTAATAGAATAATATTTATCAATAAAATGGAACATAACTTAGTAGCACCCAGTCTCTGAGGAGAAACCATACAATGTGCCATGAAAAATAATTGCTCAAAAAGCTCTCACCAAATAGGAAGCAGTAATAAACACATGTAGCTGCCTACGGAGAAGCAGCATGACCAGACCAGTTACAGCTTGACCTTGCTTTAAGCACATCAGATTTCGTATTTTTAATATCACAAGAAATTATGGCAAAATGATTATCTTATAAAAGGCTCCCTTCGATATTCACAAGGCTTCACAATAGGGTTTTATTAAATATTCAACTACATATACAGTAATGTTAGATTTACAAAATATCAACTGTCAAAACTTTTCCAGGTCCAAGAAGAATGGAGAGACCATTCCCGGTGCCCCCCACCCGCCTGGTTGCATCCCATGGGCTCCAATGGAACAATAGGATGCAAGTGTTAAGTTCCTGGGGATGAAGGCAGGAGGGCCACACCTAGCCCTCAGCTAGCTGCTCATTTTACTGTATATAAGCTGGCAGAAGTGGAATCTTAGTGTCCAGAGCTTCTTGTGGGGCTCGGGGAGGATTGTTCAGGGAGATGGAGCTTCAAGTCAGACCGCCTGGATCTTCATCCATTTTTAGCTCTGTTACATCTGCTGAAGACAGGAGTGCCCCGCAGGGCCTGAGAGGTGGCGGCGGTGCTCTGATGGGTTCAACAATTCTACCTCTACCCACTATTCCCGTCTTTGGTCCCTGTGGGAGCAGAAGGCTGTGCAGGGATAACCAGGAGCGGCAGCCTCTACATTGCCCAGAAGGGGAAAGTGGGCTTTGCCCGCGGGTGGCAGGTAGCAGCTACTTCACTGACCCACAGTGGCAGTAGCCAGTCTCAAAGGGAAAGCGCCCCAGGCCCACGAGCAAATGATGCTATTGTACCTCCATAAATAAGGAAGTGATTGCTATCAAACCAGGAGACCAGCTGATCCTGACCAGAAAAAGAAACAAACCAAAAATTACATCTGCTAGGATTCAACCACCTCATACAGCATTGAAGTTAAAAATCTATATAGTTAAATATGGACAGTTTAAAGTTCCATGTATAAACTACTGCTAAATTTTAGTAAACCTTAAAAGACAGCAAATTTAGGAGATTCTCTTATCTTTGGCAATGGCAAAAATTGAAGATAGAGACTGTATTTTTGGCAATTCTTTCCACCTTACTTCATACCAAAGTTTCTCATGATTTTTAAAAGATGCTACCGATTTGGACATGGCCCAGTGAAACATACTGCTCTCATACAACATACAGCTGAAAGCATCATACTTTTTTACTCCTTATCTACATAAGGATCACCCACATAGCTGCCCCTGCCTCAGGAAGCAGCTACATGATGACGCCTTAATGCAACTTCTTACTGACAACGTCTAGGTCGCTAACACAGGATCTCTGGCTCTTAGTGCTTGCAAATGTGTTCCCTGTAACCAGCTGTGTTGCTCTTCCTCCTTCTCCAGGAGGGCTCTAGGTCTATCACAGGAAGTCTAACGCCCAGTAGTTTAGAAACTACAGAGGTAGCCAAAGTTTCCAGGCTCCTGAAGACGTGTTTTATTTTTACCCAAATAGTCTGGGGTGGGAATCCTGTCATACAGAATAGCAGGGATTCACGAGAGCTCTCTAGAATTTGCCCCTCACAGCAAGAGTCGGGTTTTCTATCATTCGTGGCGGCTTCAAAAAATGGACCTGCAGCTCTGCAGTGTGCACTGACGTCTTCTCAGCCTATATGTCTACAAATATAACCAGACTGCAGAGGTGAGAGGACGGGACTGCAGGGGTAGGAGACAACAAGCTCGTCCAATGCACGAGAGAGAATGGGAGAGATAAAGGCAAAAGAGTATTTTCAGCTCAAGTAATAGAAGGTGAAGTCTGATCCAAAGTTGTGGCTCCCAAAAGTTATTTTCCAGGAACCAGACTAAATTCCAGAGATACTCCTGCCTTTTCCTACGTGATGTACAAGGTACACAACACACAGTTTGGTAGATCCCATTTTCAGTTGTGCTCACTTTAAATAATTTTAATAACTGAAAGAATTATAAATGAATTTAATTCATTGCCTGTTAGTTTTTCCCATTCTATGCATTTCATTCCTTTCTACTAAAAAAAAAATCCCACTGATCATAGTTTTCAGAAATTTTCTTCTAAATCCTGTTCTTTCTGGGTCTCTCAAGATCTCAGTAGACATATGGGGACTGTCCAGGATTCTTCCAGTAAATTTTTACCTAGAATCAGAATTCAAATAAAATAGTATTTGATTTCTATAGCTAGTCATGTACTGATGTGATTTTAAGGATGTTGTTTGACCTAATATTGCTCCGTATCTGTAAAGCATGGACATAAAATTATGCTTTTAAATAGCTTAGTGAAATAGCTTTTTGACAAAAATATTCTAAGAAAGTTAAGTAGTAACAGCACTCCTTAAATAGAACCCTACAGAGAGACACTATGAACACAGTATTTTATAATCTTTTCTATTCCAAATATCTTGTCAGTTCCCACAACATGAATTAAGAAGATGTATTTCCTAACTCTTCACTGAAGGGCCTAGAATTAATGATGTACTAGTGGCAATGAGCACACCTGGCATCCGTATCTTGGATTCTAAATGCCACCCCTTACACAAAAATACTTCCTTCTGGATCCTTCACGAAATGGCTGAACAGAGCATAGGTTAAGGACAGTCTAAAATGAGCCAGAAACATCTTGCTTAACCAGAAAGCCAAGTGCTCCAAGACTTAGAAGGACAAGTACAAAAGAACACGGAAGGGGCCAGCTTGAAGGGGCTCCTGCTGGTGAAATATGGGACAGTGAGAGCATCCAAAAGAATAAAGCTGGTCATGAATTATAATCCACTGAACTAAGAGAAAAGATGCCATGAATAGAAAATGACACTTTCAGAAAGGAAAAGAAAGTGGAGGGGGGAGAAAAAGAGACAGAGAGAAAGGGAGGTAGAAGGGGAGTAGAAGGGAAGAAGAGAAGTTCTTTACCAAAATGTCCCCTAATATATGTAGACAGAACGATTGACCTATTTTGCAACCACCCATGGGTCCTTCTTTGAAATGTCTGGCTTGTCCTCTATACAGCTGTAAATGTCATGAAAGAAAAAGGTGGGGGGGATATTCGAGATTAAATGTGAAAACAGAGATAAGTGGGTATAATGCATGGTTCTTGTTTGATGCTGGATTTTTTTTAAAAAGCTACAGGGGAAATTCCTGGGGTAGCAGGGAAATTGTGAAAAATTACAGTTTATTTAGATAGCACTGCATCAAGGATAAATGTATTAGGTATGTTAACTGTACCATATTCATATAGGAGAATATCCTCATTCTTAGGAGAGAGATGCTGGAGTACTCAGGGATGAACTGCCTTAATGTCTCCAACTTAGTTTCAGATAATTCAGCAAAAATAAATAAAAGTAGAAAATATATGTGTCTCTGTGCCTGTGAGAGGGAGTGCATGTACAGCCAGAGAGAAAGTAAATGTGATAAAATGGTAACAACTGATGATTGTAGGAAAAGAGCACGACTGTATAATGTACTGCCTACCACCTTTCCAACTTTTCTATAATTTTGAACAAATTAAAAACTTGGGGAAAATCACGAGTGCAGACATTGGTCTAGAAAATAAGGTTAATAATTATATTGATCTCAGAAGGTAACTGGGGATTAAAGGAGTCAATACATGTAAAGCTATCACATTATTAAAATTATGATATTCAAGTAAGGTAATGAACTTTCCAATAAATATGGAGCTAAAAAAAAAACTATCCAAAATTAAAAAAAAAAAACTATCCAATAAATATGGAGTCCCCCTCCCCAAACTGGAAATAGCCACTTTTTTTGTTTTTGTAGTTAACTGAAAGTTTCTGACACTAGGTGGTAAAAATATAGAAATATCTTTTACAGAAGATTCTCATTATTTTGCCTGGATGGACCCTTTGGTCTCACACATGAAAATTAATACCTATCCACTGATCTTAAATAAAACAAAACCTCCATAAAGATAGAATCTAATGGTGAAGAGAAGTTTAACTTTCTCAAGAATGCAAACTGGGTGATTCTTCTGCCAGCCTGTGACCTTTGACTTTCTAGATAAGAGTCCTTCTAAATAGGGATTTAGACAGCTTTTGTTAGCACTAGTCTCCATATGTTATTATGACTGAATTACACAGACCTTGGGAACTATGAGATTCACTCCTGAAATTCAACCACACTGGTGGAGGTGAAGGGTCCCCTGAAGGAAATGGGTTGCCAGGACTATCTCTGCTCTCCATAAGGGTGTCAAGGGGGTGCTGGAGAGTCTCCTTCAGCTGGTCGCCAATCAGTACTAGTATCCTAGGAGAGAGTCAAAACCCTAGCTGCTGAAAGGAGCTATTAGTCCAAGAATAACTCTCCAATTTAGACTTTTAAAAATCACTCCATCCCCTGGCCAATGAAGGACTGTTAAACACAGAATCCTGGGCATGGCTCTACATTGTGGTAGAGTTCAAGGATGAGACTTTCAGTGAGCAAATCAGTACATAGACAAGCAGTCTAATTACCTCCCCCCAACAAAAAAAAAACCCAATAACAGCAGTCTGGAGAAGTACATGAGCCAGGTGTCTGCCAGGGAACAGCTGTCATCTTCAAATCAGGGTAACAGAGAAGGATCAATAAAAGGACTATTGACAAAGGGATGGGCAGGGAGCGGGGAAACCGGGCAGGAGAGAGCCATGTCACAGGTAATAACAGAAGAACGGTTAGTGCACCCACGCCTGCAGAGACGACAGAATGAAGGACTACCAGAACCCGGAATGAAAGAATCTCATGCAGAGATTTAGGAAGAGCAGTGACCTGCTGCTGAAGGACACAGTCATCTTGATGTGCTCCTGCAGGGAGGGAACGAGGGGAATAAATAACCTGCCTTCACTCTCCTCTCTCCCTCTCATTTTCTGCCAGGGCTCCTCGTTGGCCAAACCAGAGGGCAAGAAGCCCATTAAGTGGTTCCTACAAGACAGCCCCTGAGGGCACAGAGCCCAGAGGATGGGTAAGGAGAAGACATCTCATACAAGCAGCACACCCACACCAGCGTTCACGTGCAGACTTCAGATGTTTCCACAGCTCACAGTGGGAATACTAGAGGAGGTGACAAGTGGCCACCAGAATGAATTATGCAAAGTGTAAGCATCTGAAGAGTAACCAAGTGGGCACAACAAGCTTGCTCTAAATCAAAGCAATACCACTGTTAATGTATGCACATTACACGCATATATGCAAACACACACATGCTCACTAAATGATGTTTACATATAAGTGCTCCATAGGAACTAGTATTTTTTATTCACTTATTCAACAAATATATGTCTTAACATGTACAAGGTGTGAACAAAGCCATGTCCAACTAAAAACGACAAATGCATAAAGGTGCTAACCTAATTATATTTAAATTAGCCTAATTAATTAGCTTTGAATTTAATTGCTAATATTTTCTTCAAATGATCATATACATTTTTAGCTTTTTGTTAAAATAAAACCCTAAGACTAAAAAAAGAAATATTCACGAAACAACAACAAAACTCAGACAACTAGAATAAAAAATAGGCAAACAACTGAAATAGGCATTTCTCCAAAGAAAGCACACAAATGGTCAATAAGCACATGAAAAGATGCTCAACATGATTAATCATGAGAGAAATGTGAATCAAAACTAGAATGGGATACTATTACATATCCATTAGGATAGCTATTTAAAAAATTAAGAAAATAAGTGTTGGTGGGGCTGTGCAGAAACTGGAACTCTTGTACATAGCTGGTGGGAATATAAAATGGTGCAGCCACTAGAGAAAACAGTTTGATAGTTCCTCAAAAAATTCAAAATAGAATTACCATATGATCTAGCCATTCCACGTGTGCATATAAACCTATTATAATTGAAAGCTAGGACTCAAAGAGATTATGCCCATGTTCGTAGAAGCATTATTTCCAATAGTCAAAAAGTAGAAGCAGTCCAAGTGTCTACAGAAGGATGAATGGATTAACAAAATGTGATCTATATATTCACCCAAAGGAATATCACTCAGCCTTGAAAAGGAAGGAAATTCTGGCATGTGCTATAAGACATTATGCCAAGTGAAATAAGCCCATCACAAAAGGACACATGCTGTATGATTCAACTTATAAGAAGTACCTAGAGTATTCAAATTCATAGAGAGAGAAAGTAGGAAGGAGCTAGGGGCAGTGGGGAGTCTGTTTAATGGGGCTTCAGTTTGGGAAGCTAAAAAGGTTCTGGAGATGGATGGTAACGATGGTTGTACAAATGTAAATGTACTCAATACCACTGAACTGTACACTTAAAATGGTTAAAACAGAACATTTTACATTATGTTTTACCACTATTTAAAAAAAAAAAAGCAATACTCACGGATTCCAGCCCAAATCTTGTGGATTCACATAGAGAATACCAGCTCTGGAAACAGTAGCTGGGGTTGCAGTCCTTAAGTGATGAACCTCAAAGAGCAGCCTCATAGAGGCAGTGAGGGCCACACGCTCATTGCTGGCCAAGGTCAGCACCTGGACAGAGCAGTGCAGCACAAAAGTGGCCCATCATTAGGGAGCAAAGGCAATGCCACTAACCTACCAAAACAACACTACAGTACTTCCCTCACACACGTGCCTAAGGCCAAGATCTCACTGCCCAAGTTAGAAACATGGTCTGAATAAAGATCTCAGTTCATCCCCTGTAGGGCGCTCACTGACCTCTGAGGAACGAACTCACCAACTTGGACCCATTCATGCCAACCTTTAAAAAAGCCGTGGTAACTACTACTAAATAAGATGTTTGTTTTAAGAGTTGATTACATGAAAAGGCCAGAATACCACAGAAAATAAGCTTTCTTTAGAATCTGAAATACCACAATTTTCAATTGTCCTATAGAAACTCATGCAAGTATGAAGATCTCAGACTTGTATTTTCTGATGAACAACATGTTAGTTCAGAAAGCAGTAATTTCTGTCAGCTTAAGGGAATTACTAATAATATCCTGCAATAATGACGATGACTGATTTCTTTCTCCTGACCCTAACAGGAGACCTCGTGCTGCTTTAACAATGTCTCACAGACCTGTATCTTTGCCTTTGTTTTTTGCTGGAAATTCTGGATTAACCATGGCAAAATGCTTATGAATGCAGACTCAAATCTGTAGCCATAGGACCTACTTAATTTCAAAAGCTAAATTTCGCCAATTAACATAGGGGACACATTCTTTTATTACCCAAGTGTTCCATACTTAAAGATAAGATATAAAAATGTATACCTAGCTCTTAGAAAATGGTAGGATGTGCATAAACTAAATTCTTGGATACATACCTAACTCTCTTTAAAGGTGGTGAAACTTACACAGGCAAGAAAAAAGTATTCCCTTAAATTCTTCAAGGGAATTTAAGAGAATTATCAGGAAACTGTCACTCATCCAAAAAGTAACAATGTAAAGAACATCAGGTTAAGGATGGAAACTGATATGACATCAACAAGCAAGTGGAACTCCATGCACTCCAGGCCTTTCGTTCACGGTTTAGCACTGGGGTGTTACCTTGTTATCATCCATGACGGTGTTTAGCGACTCAATCCACGTGGGATCAATATCGCCATCCAGGACTACCATTTCGGCCCATCATGAGTAAGATTTGCTTGCTCTCGCAGAACGGACGAGAAGAGACCTAAAAGGTAAGAGTAACTCATCCTCAAACATAACGAGTGCTGTTTCTTTCTCAAATACATTTGTACTATCTTTACTGGAAGCTCTCTTACTCAGTAAGTCAATTTGCTGTCAATTTGTCACCTCTTTCTGGTGGGCAAAGAGTAATACTTTACGAGCTCTACCTGGGCCTGAGACCCAAGGTCAAGTTTCACTTTCCGTGAGAAGTTTCCTGACCCTCTCAGACTGGGCATCCCTGTATGTCGAATAAAGAAGACTGTACCCTCCTTTAAGAACATTTGTGGAGATTTACAGAAGGCAGAGTACGTGAAACTCAAAACTCACACTAAATGAAGATATCATCCTTTTTCATGCACATACATTCAGTACCTGTTTTAGGCTCAATTATTAGTTTCTTTCACCTTTCTCCATTTTTCTGTAAAAATAGTCAAGGGTGATAATTCTAAAGCTTGAGTATTCAGAAGTGCTCTACATTTCTTTGAGAAATTTGGTCACTGGCATTGTAGTAAGTTATCATTATCTCACAAGACGTAAAGATAAAAACATTTTAAATCCACAGTCCTTTTTTGCTAACTACTATGCATCTAAGTATTATGTGCGTTATATGGCATATTTAATAGTTGCTGACTGTTCACAACTCAAATATATAATACTACGGTGAAAAAAAACTGTTTTGATACGTGTATGTGGAAAGCTCTGTTTCCTCTGTGAAGTATTTTTTGCAAAGATAAGTGACAGTATATAGTAAAATCTGCCACTATAATTCATAAAAAAGCCAGCAACCTTTTCTAAAGGTCAATGCTTTGAAAGGTTCCCACAAATTTTTCAGCACAAACTGTTATTATTCTCTTCCTGCCATAGTCCTTTTAAAAAAAAACAAAGATAGAAAGCCTACAAGAGTAAATTTTGATTGTCTCACAAATGAAAGAAGCAGTGTGCACATGACACTAGAATGGAGGTCTGGTCCTTTGATACAGTCACCAGGGAAGTTTTCTCTGATGCGGTATTTGACCAGACAATCCAGTAACATAACAAAGCAAGCCACGCAGGCACCTCCAGTGCTGCAGACAGTGGGAACACCAAGTACAAAGGCCCGCGATGGGAAGATGCTTGGCGTGTTCAAGGAAGAGCAAGGAGGCCTGAGTGCCCGGATTATAGTAAGTGAAGGGCAGAGCACAGGAAATGACGTCGGAGATGAAGAAGGGGGATCCAGTTACACAGAACCTTGCCAGCCTTAGATAAAGATTGGATTCTAACAGCGATGAAACACACTGGAAATTGCAGGCAGAGAAATAACATTTTGAAGAGCGCCCTCTGTCTGCTGAATGGAAAATGAACTACAGGGAGGCAGCGGTACAGACAAGGGGTGATGGTGGCTTGGACTCATGTGGGAGATGCAGAGAAGGTGAGAAGCCCTAGAATACTATTATATATATAAATACATATATTACTATATAATACTATTATATATAGTATACTATATATGTATGGTAAAGCCTATAGGATTTGCTGTGATGTTGAATGTATGGTGTGAATGTGGCAAAGGAATCAAGGATGATGCCAAAGTTAGTACATTTACTGAAATGAAAATGTTAAAACTAATTTCAACAAAGGAATCTGCTTGTCTGCAAAAACTTTCAGGGCAAGAAACATGTCCCACTGACTTGTCCCCAGCACCTAGAATAGAGGCTGCCTAAAACTCAGTCACTGTCTTGTATCAGGTACTTTATAAATGTTCCCTGAGGCATTAGTGTTGAATTCTCTCCTGGTTTACAGGGAGCCCTGACATAATTGACGTGGGATGAAATACACAGCTCTGAGCGTGAACCTGCTGAATGCTAATTGACCACTTATTCAAACCTAGTTTTAATTTATAGGTTATAAATGCTGTTGTGAGCTGCTCTATTTCCAATAAGGCCAACACATAAACAGTAAATCTAGGGCCGTGACTAAAATTGGTTTGAACTAAGAAATGATATTCTGGATTAAAAAATAAGAAAATTTTCGCACTTCGAAAGGGGAAATGCTACTTGCCATCTTTCCATTCTCGGGTGGCATGATGTATGAAACCGAAAAGTTCATCTGTTGTCACAGCTTTAGGGTTTAAGTCATTCCAAATGGGTTTTTGTTTCATGTTAACATATGTTCGGTTCAGTGTTCTCAAAATCTGAAAAAAAGGAAGGGAAAAAGCTAAGAAAATTAATACTCATGTAAGCCAAATGGAAAGCAAAAGATTTCACAAGGTTTTTCCTTATGCATTACATGTTCCTAGGTAGTCTGTGTGTATTAGGATTGAGAATGAGAAAAAATTTACAAGTGCACATTTTCATTCTCTTTTTGAAAAATTTAACCCTACAATCCCTGAGGATCAGTTCACCTGATGCTTTGAACAATGTAGACTACTTACAGGCACTATTACTTGAGATTTTTAACCACGTATGCAAAGTGAAAGACTATATGTAAATAGGGGTTTCTGTTCATGCTATGAAAATTCACTCTGCCTGTATTAGATTGTTCTTAAACTTGACCCTGCATCCATCCGGATCGCTCAGAGGGTGTTAACACAGATGAATGGGCCCAGTCCCAGAGTTTCTAATTCAGTAGGTCTAGGAAAGGGCGGATAATCTGAGTTCTAACATGGTCTGAGCTGGTGCCTGGGATGCTTGGTCTCGAAGTACTTTGAGACCTAGTGACCTAGAGCAATAGTTCTCAACAGGAGATCATCTCGACTCAGGGGAAGTGGACATACTCCTGGGCATCTAGTGTGCAGAGGCCAGGAGGCTGCTAAACGTCCCACAATGACAGGGCAGCCCCACAACAAAGAGTTACCCGGTCCACAGGTCAACAGTGCTGAGGCTAAGAAACCCGGGTCTAGAACATTGAAGGAGAGAAGATGTGCGGATAAGAATTCATAGGATAGGTGCTTAATATACATCTGTTTAATTCCCTGACACCTTAACCCAAATATCTGCCCCAACTATTCTGCTTTCTTGGAAAAGCCATGGCTGTTATTTCAGATATTATCATCCTGATCTACTCACAGGGGTTTACAGGACTGACAAACAATTGCCAAACACTTGAAATAATAAGTTGCTAAATAACATGGCCCTGAGCTTTGGTGTTCTGGTTCTATCAGCTTAAGTAAAGGTTAAAGAGAACAGAACCAGTGAAGACTAGATGGAAAAAACTGAATGTCTTAGGAATATTAAGCTTGTATTTTTAGAAACCATTAATCTACTGAAAATTATAGAATTTAATTTTGTCCTTCCTTGCACCATGGCCCACATCTGAAACTTACTCTAACAAAATAATTACAGGTCTATCAGTTATCCACTTTAATACTCCAATTATTACTTTTTTTTTTTCAGTAGAAAAATCCCTACACAGGGCCTCCCTTTACAGTTGTTCCACTTTGGGTTCTGATCTAAATATTGGCAAGTTCTATGTACACTCATGCTCTAAAGACTCATATGCCTGCTCTCATTATTTTTAGTCACTGGTTACTAAATACGTTCATATGCAAGCACCCTAAATGAAAACGCATGCAGTTCTGCATATACTGTCTGCCAAGCAAGAAAATAAGTGTATTGCCAGGACAGTCAGTAAAACCAAACAAAATCAAGCAGGGAACTAAAAATGGGGATAATAATCCCCACAGCCTACCATCGTTGTGCAGAGTAAATCACACATCATGCACCTAGCACAGCACGTAACAGGCATCTCAACAATATGGCTTTTGTCTCCTTCTTTTCTTTTCAAGTGTTGTTTTGGCCCCGTAGAGGGCTATATTTCCAGGGGAGTATTGAAGAAAAATATTTGGGTTTTTTCTTATTGTTATAGGGAGGAGAATCTGGGATAACTTGGAAAATAGAAGAAAATATTTTTGACCAGTGTGGGCAGGGCCAGTCCAATCCTGCAAGCCAGGTATCTTATTCTAGAGTCTCTCAATATGGGTACTTTGGATAAAAGAATTCAGGTACGTGATGGAAAGATGGATAAAACAGGATGGCATACATCTAAATGTGCGAATAGGGTGCTAACCCTCTCACGTGGAGAGCCCAACCTTCTCTCAGTTCACATTTCTTATTTGAATGCAATGTTCTATAGTTACTCTCTCCCTTTCCCCAATATAAAGGAAAATAGTGTCAACTGATCAAAGAGCAATATTAGAGTCTCCAATTCTACCCCCAAATTATGAGCAACTTCACCAAAGGGAACTCTTAAATAGATTTCAAAGCAGCTCCCCCCACCTCCAATTTTGTTCATTCCCAGCTGAAAGCTGACAGTTTACTATACCTTACTCTTTCCTGTGCCTGCATTTCCAACAACAAAGACAGAGTGTCGCACAGCCAGCAGCTCCTCAAGCTGGACAACCTGCAGATCCAACAGCCAGACACTAGTTTCCTTTAATAAGTTTGTGTTTTTCCAAAATCTACCCATTTTTGACAATTCTTTCTTATAACTCAAGCCAGCCCGAGCTGACAACATTATATTCTGGGAAAATTAAAATAGATGACAAATACCAAGCATAGTTTCTCTGGGATCTCCCAATGTAGAAGATGGAGGGAGAAAATGAAGAAAAAGCATGACTCGGTGAATCACTGACACAGGCAGAAGTGAAGCACAGAAGGACTCAGTACATGGCAGGGGTTAGTTCCAAAGTCAATTACTCTTCATGAAGTGTGAACAGAAACAGTATATGGCCAGCATCATCCACACTGAGTAATAATGACTTATATTCTCTGGAATATCTAAAACGGATATGCTATATGTATTTTAACATCCATGCATTCACTATACCCCAAATGAGCATGTATATGCACAAGCCTTTGATAAGTCACATGAGGTCATTCATGTAGACATTTCTCCCCCATGAAAAGCATGTGCTCATGATTCTACTTGCAACTTTCTCTAGGACGGAGAGAAAAGGGAGTAAAATTAATTTTTGGTGTGTGTCATCAAGAAGAACCAAGAAGTTTTATAAAGTAATGAGAAGTATGCTGACATGGAAAACCATGACTTAATCACATCTTATTTTCACCTCACGGAAGAGGACTATATTCATAATTACTTTAGTAAAGACTGCCATATGAGCATGCTTTAGAGTAAATAGTAAGATCATCTTAAGGTCAGGGTAATATACAAGTTGGTTCTTTGGTTCAACATCACTTAAGCAGTTATTCTCACTGCACATTCCAAGTGCTGCCATGACAAGCAAAGATCCTTTTACTTTAAGGATGAAGGCTTCCTCGGGCTGTAGGTGGAGCTCCACAGTGGACTGCCTGACCACTTGTTCAAAGTGTGGCGCTCTCCTCCGGGGCACATCCAGGGCTGGAAACAGGTCACCAATCAGGCCCAAAAACACAGGGATGTCATCAGTCACTATTTTCGGCATATTGAAGTCCCTTAATGCTCTCATGAGTACCTAGAAAGGAGAAGAGAAAACATTTCATGAAAAAGCCAATACAATGTCTAACAAACACCTGAACTGCTCAAGATGTTCTTTTTAATTCTCATATTCAAATCATGAGATACTGTTCTCTATTAGAATGACATTCTATCAACAGGGAGGTTAAGGTCACATACCAGAACAAAAAAGCACTCTGCCAGTACCATGGACACCCAGACTAAAGCCGGCAAAGAGGCCCTGTTCCTTCCTGGCCAACATTTTGAACTGCAGGAAGGATCTGGGGCTCTTCTCTCCATAATCCTCAAACTCTAGGGTGTAAATTAACCAGGACCATCACACTGTTTTGTTCAAAGTCCTGTGAGAATCTCAGAATGATGAACTCAACTATCTTTAGTTTAGGTTTCTGTTCTATGCTGGCAGAAAACCAGAGGGCTTTAGATTTTAAAAGCAGTAACTTGAACATCGGGATGACTTTTACAGGAAGAGGTTAAGTGTTCCAACAACAATAATAGAACAAGAGAACACACAAAAGCATGAAAATCTTGACCCAATCATGAATTGTAATTGAAAGGAAGAGAAAGATTGCAAAAGGAAAGTAGAAAATCACACGATAAATATTCTTTAACATGAAAAGAAACTCACAGGAATCAACCTGTTTTTTTTCCCCCCAAATTCTGAAGCCATATTGCATATACACACAAACTGCATATCCGTTACTCTGTTTATCTAATGGAGAAAAATGCACTGTGTGAGTGTTACTGTTTTCCCCAGGAAGGATGGTGGGCCATTTTCCTAGTAGGTCTAGATGACCAACTAAGTATTTCACTGGTGTGAGGCGAGCATCCTTCCTGTTCCTTTCCTCATGCTCATCTTACATCTCATGAACAGACAACATACTTTCTTCCATTAGATTATGTCTTCCCTGACTTTTCCAGGACTAATATCCCAACTGTATCTGATTTCCTCTAAGGTACGTGAGGAGATCTAACAGTGACTACTGAATTGTTTATGATCACCAAAATACTTTTTGTGGCTGGTAATTTCAAAAGCATTTATAAAATCACACTTTCTTTCGTATATTATATCTTTTTACTCAAGGATACTCGTGGTCGTTTATATGTAAGAATGACAGTCCTCAAAATAGTCTACATTAAAAATAGATGTTACACTTTTTAAAAGTCATGCTATATATGGTCCGCTCTCTATATACTTTTATTTGTACGAAGCTGTTTAGCTATTCACTCAACAAAATCATATTAGCACTCCAGTACCTGATCTTCTGGCCTATTTTTATCTCCTCGTTTCAGGGAGCCAGCTACAACCAAGACAGATTTAATAGCGCGAAGTCCCCAGTCATAATGATCCTAAAATCAAAACATAGGTACATTTTCTCTAAACTTTTATGAGGCAATCAGATTCTCATTCCAGAAGTAAAAGCTGGAAGATACAAGAGTTCAGATAAATATGCATCTTAACGAGGTAAAGTAATATCCCCACGCACCCCATTCTCTGTCTGTGAAACTGTAAAAACCACGTCCCTTCAGGGTCCTGCTTCTTTTGCCTGATTCTCTGCCTCTGTCAGCAAACCTCTTCTCTCCACAGCATTTAGATGCATTATTTACCCCAAGGCTCCATCCACCCTACCCCGCCTTGCTCCTCTCTCTCAATAAACTTGCTAATTCAGGGGTTCCATTACTTCCATGTTTTCACTCCAACCACAAGAACAGCTCTCTGGCTGTTCACAGCAGCCCTGCTAGTCTGCCCACTCCCAGCCCTAGACCTCTAATTTTCCTAATTACTCTACCTCTTCATCACTTGGACACTCTAGCCCTAACAGTCGCATTTAATACAAAGCTGTATATTAAAGTTCAGTGATAAAGTCCAACTTCCTTGAGACTTCCACCTTATTTCGAGAGGATTCCTTTCACAGGCTCCGAGCTCCTGGAGGAAAGAGCCCATGTTGATTTACTTTTGTCTCTGGGTCCTAGCACAGAGCACTGCACAGGGTAGGTACACTGAATCAATACATTGATTATATATAACCAGCCTTCGCTCCTCTGCCCTCTCTCTACAACCTACACAGTAACAACCCTTCTCCCAGATGTCTCCCAGCTGTGCCTGTGGGAAAGTCAATCTCTCCAAGCCTGACTGTCATCATCTATAAAATGGCGGATCAAAGTACCTACCCCTCTACAAGGTTGCTGGGGTAAAATGAGTTAATGCTTTGCAAGCAGTGAAAAAACATGTACATGTATACATATGCCCTTCAATTCATTAGTAGGTAGTAAAATCAACTCAGTGCATCTTAATCATCATATTTGTTGGAAATGAAATAGAACAGAATGGGGTGAAAAACACCAGAGTGCACTGCAAATAGTAAGGGTAAGAGGTGTTTGGTGAAGATTTTGGCTTTAGTCATGCTTGTGTTGGGGGGCGGTAGGTATGTATGTATGGACTGAGTCTTAAGAGAAAAGGTTGTTGTTGTTGTTTTGGGTTTTTTTTTTACTGTGTGTCATGGTAAAAAGCCATTTGAAAGCCAGTGATATAGAAATAGACTAGGGCTTGAGGAGGGCAGGAGAGGGAAAAGAACCAGTATTTGGAGGATGGGGAGACTGGGGAGCAGGCTAAGTCATCACAGTAACAAGATTCAAGGATAGAATGTAGAAAAAATTCTGGACGTAGACTTAAGACTTGGTGACCCTCCTAAACATTAAACATTGCCAACAAGTGCTAAAATAATCTGTAGTATTTTCATTATGCTAGTCCTTTGGTCAAAAACGTCCACTGATTCTTCTCAAATCCATTCTTATAGCTCAGTGGATTGTGTTCCTAACTCAGCTTTTCTGTCCTGGACAAATTTCTTTCTTATCTTCCATCCCTGACATTTCTCCGAGTTGGAGAACTCTTTCCTTGCCTGTTCTACCGTTACTCCCCATACCTTCCTCCTGTAATGGCTCTAAGTGTCCTTGAAAGGATTAGAAAGGGCTGAATTAGAATCTTGCTCCCACCACTTATTAGTTGAGAACTTTGAATAGGTTATTCACTCCGTTTCCTCATCCATAAAATGGAACTAATAAAACCAAATTTGTAGTGTTTTTGTTAAGATTAAAAAAAACACACGGTATCTGTACAATTAATACTGATTGATTCCTTTTTTCCTTGAAACTATAATCTTTCCATGATCCATTTCTTACAATTTTTACTTCATGAAAATTGAATCTCCTACATAAGTTCTTTGAAGTCAGAAATCTGTTTGTCTCTTTTGTTCTGTGTTTACCCCTTTCATGATTATCAGCAATAAACACATTACATTCACACAGTAATTGCTCATTAAATGTCTAAATATTAGTCCTGGGAATGGCATATGGTTACAACTCCATGTATCCCAGGTCCAATGACACTTTTGTCTTCTTTTCCCATTATAAAATTAACATAGACTCTTTGACAAAATAAAAAGGATACTACCAACAAGAACAAGGAGAAAAATACAAAATACTCACAATCTTATTATCAGAAACAAATGTTTAAAATCACAATGTATTTTCCGGTCACTTCATACATTTACAAAGCATGCAGTATAATATAAAATATAAAATACATGCAAATTGTAGATCACATCTACAGTTTGTATGCTGTTTTTTGCATATAAGATTGTCACAAGCATTTTTTCCTGCTATCAAATTTGGTATGTTTTACCCTAGGAAGCAAATTCACAGTTGTTAAAATGACATGAATTTGCCTCTTAGATTCCAAATTTCACCCAACAGCAGGTAATTTAAAATGAGCACATCTGGTTGTAACTGTGATATTTTAATACTTTCATCTTGGAACGGTTGGCAAATAACGTTACCAGGAATTAACAAAAGGTCACCAAAAGACTGAAGTCAAAAGGGACCACAAAGCTCCATTTACAAATAGTGATGCTGGTATAAATGTCATTTTTGTGGCCCATGAGCCACAAAACAATGAAACAGCAAAAAGCAAGTGACTGGAGGGTAAAGTCTGTATTAATCTGACCCATTTCAGATACTAGGGAATTGTAGGGCAAAAATAAAAACAAAAAAAAGCCAACTCTACTTTCAAATAAAGAATTACCAACAAAATGAGAAAAAAATTTAACATTTCTTGAGTCTTCTTCAAAAAAATCAGCTTTCACTGGCTCTATGAACACTCCCACCATCTCTCACTGGAAAATATTATTTTCACCAAGAAAGGAAGGCATTAAAGTACGTATCTCATTATAGCATTGATAAAGTTTAAAGAAAATCCCATAGCCCACTAATATAAACTGTGTTAAGTACAAATAAAACATTCAATTTAAAATGTCTCAAGTTTTTAATTTCAAAAAAATTAAGAACTCTAAAATACAAATTTTCAAAATCATATGGAAAATATACAATTACTTCTAAATGTCTAACTGTAACTTGAGTGGTAAATAACCCAACATCCATATTTAGGAAGCTGTTTTTATTGAGCTTAGAAAACCCCAAAAAGTAACAAAGACCCCTCACCTGCTTGGACAGGAGCTCCCTGCAGAGTGTATACAACGTAATAAACTTGCGGGCTAATAAGCGTGCGTCCACAAAACCTTCAGCAACCAACATGATTTCACAGATTAGCTCAATGTCAGGGGCCACCATGGCACAGGGTCTACAAAGTAAATATGAAATTTAGTTTTACAATGTGCTAAGGTAATAAGTATAAATTGCTAAAATCAAGTGATTAGTTTGTACCAACATTCTAACCATTCCCAAGCAGGTCACAATTACCTCTGTCAATCACAGCTAACAAGACCCTTCACTTCAACAAAAAAATGCCCATTAGTTACTGGATACACAGAAAAAGGTGGGAAATCTGAAAATGGCAGAAGCACAGCTGTAGGAGTTTAAGGGAAATTTGTGGGTATATTAGGTAAACTTCCATTGTTAGGCTGTTACCACAGAAAGATGAGTGATGTTCTGCGCTAGAGGCCAGCCTTTACCTGTGGCTAGTGCTGTGCTGGTCAATTGTTAACAACTGGCTCTCCAAAAAACAGCATTTGCTGATTTCCATGGAATCGATACTTCCGCCATGGCTGATTTCAGTCTACCAACATGATATCACTAAACGTGGAGGTGGGAATAGATGTGCAATAGCACACCACCACACAGACACAATAGACATAAATAACCCAAGAGCGTATGTATTAATAAAATAGGAGAAAGTAATTAGGATGTAAGGAGTTTGAATGTTGTCTCTAACAGGACTGATTTAATCAAAAGTTTATATGATTCAGTTTTTTATTAGTACCTGTGCTTCATAACCACCTCACAAAACTCATGAAAATTTAACCATCAGCTCTTTTAAGCTCATACAAACCATTTCCAACACTGCCTGCAGCCAGCTTGGTTAGACTTTCAAGATGAAAATTTACCCAAACATCACTTTCAAATTCCCTTTCTTTTAGAGGGGGACTTCCAAAAATTCCTCCCAAGACAAGTGTATTAAAAGCAACAGTAGAAAAAATACCACTCAACTGAAGTCAAGTGCAAAGAAGGAGCCAGAGTAAATAAGTAAATAAGCCTGTCATTTTAGATATTTTTAAGCATATATTCCAATAATTTTTATCCATCTGTTTTTGTAAATATAATTACTGTCTACTTCACGCATATCTAATTTTTCACCCTAAACAGTTCCAAGTCTCTTTGGATCTATGTTACTAACTACTCCTACCTAAAGCAGCCCTGTATTTTTTCAAGCAAATAGGGGAGGGAAAAGGCTAGCAAATTTACATAACTGGTACTTATATCAATACCAACAACTAACATTCAATGAGTACTCTTCATAGCATAAGGGATGCTAAAAGCTTTTCATGCACTCTCTCACTTAGTTCTCTCAACTCTTTGAAATGGCTGCATTTCTTATCCATACTGAACTGAGGTGCAGACTAAGGTTACGAGCAGCACAAGCTCACGGCCAAGGCCACGTGGTGGCACCGATACTCTCATGGCTCAGGCATGCCATCTCCACTCATCAACACTACTTGCATCACCCAACTGTCCTTCAGACTCTGCTGAGCCAAGTGCGGGCACCCCAGCACACATGCTGCTGCGCTCAGTTACACCGAATTTATGGAAACTTCACAAAATAATTTCAGATTTTAAGATCCCAATGAAGATATGTACAAGATGAATTGGGATACAAATGTGAAAATTTCAAATGAAATTCTCAAATGAAAATATTCTGTAATCATTACATGTATTTCCAGGAGAGTTATTCTCTAGAATTTTTTTTTCAAGAAAAGTAGACCTTATAAAGCTGCTATGCTAGAGAAAGCTATTACAGGAGGAAAGGAAGACATTCAATAACAGGTGCTAGAACAATTGACTATTAGGTAAAATAATTCTGTTTAAATACTCATTTCACATTATCTACCAAAATAAGTTTTTTAACAGACGAAGTACATTTAGAAAGTCACACTATAAAAATTAAAAGAAAATACAAATGAAATAGTCCTAAATTTCTAGATAGATGAGCAAGCAAATTAAGCTTAAAAGGATTGAAAGAAGTCATAGTAAAAACTACAGAGGTTCTTACATTATATGTGAAGTAGCATATTATTTTGAAAGTAGACAGTAAATAAAGACACATCTTGACAGCACTAAAGACCTCTTAAAAAATAAATTGGATAAGCCTTTAGCTCATCAAGGAAGCAAAGGGAGAGAAGACACAAATTACCCTTAACAGACATGGATTTCAGGACACCACCAGAGATAATATGGGAATATTATGAATAAATTAATGCTAATAAATTCAAGAATCTAGATAACATGGAGAAAATTCCTTAAAAGATGCAAATTATCAAAATTAATTAAAGAAAAAAATGATATCTGTTAAAGATATTGCATTTATCACTAAAAAGATTCCCACAAAGAAAAATCTAAGCCCCAATGGGTGAATGAGTTCACTGATTAATTTCATCAAACATTTAAGGGGTAAATAATACCAGTCCTACACAAATTTGGAAGAAAACAGAGAAGGGAACACATGCTAAGTCATTCATGAGGTTAGCATTACACTGATGCCAAAACCAAAGATCTGACAAGAAAGGACACAACAGACCAATATCTCTCATAGCACTGACTTTAAAATCTATAACAAAACAGCAGTATATTGAATCCAACAATACTTAGAAAATGCTATCTCCTGACCAAGCAGAGTTTATCCCAGGAGTGCAACATGGAGGAAGAGTTTAGCATTTGAATAATCAATCAATATATTTGAGTACATTAACAAAAATAGAGGGAAGAACCCATATGAAAACTACTTTAAAAACTTCTGAAAGAAAATACAGTTAAACAATTTTGCAACCTGGGGCTAGTCGAATGTTCTTAACTAGGTTATTTTTAAAAACCATAAAATCAGTGGCGTAGGGTACAGCTCAGTGGTAGACTGCATGTTTAGCATGCATGAGGTCCTGGGTTCAATCCCCAGTACCTCCACTAAAAACAAAACAAAACAACAAAACAGAAAATCAACTGATAAATTACATTTCATCATAGTTAAAACTTCTATCTTTCTGAAAAATTGTGCTGAACACTGGAATTTGACACAACATTGTAAAATGATTATAAATCAATAAAAAATGTTAAAAAAAAACTTCTATCTTTGATGGACACCATTAAGAAAATGGAAAGGCAAGCCACAAGTTCAAAGAATAATATTTGCAATATGTGTATTAAACAAAGGAATTCTATGTTTACTACCACACTTCACAAAGTGGGCGGGGGGGGCAGTAAGTTACGTGAAAAGCTATTCAACAATATTCACCATTGTGGAAGTGCAAGCCAACCCCAAAAGACATACCACTACCTAAAAGATTGCCTAAGACAAACAAGACCAACAATACCAAGTTGTGAAAAGAACGCAGAGAAGCTGAAATTGTGATACACTGACGGCGAGGGTTAAAAATGGTACAACTATCTTGGAAACCAAGGAGTTCTACATATAGGAATCTAGCCTGGGTAATAATCTGAAATAAGAATAACCCTTCCTATGAAGAGATGTTTACAGCCTGCAACTCTATGATCATAAAAGACTGAAGAGAAAAACACAAGCCCTTCATGGCAGACAATAGGAATGGTTAAGAGAATTCGGGATGAGCCATGGCAGAGACTATTTTTGAGCTACATAAAATGGCATTTCCCAAGAATTTTCAATAATGGGACAAAACTACTTAGGGCCACTTATGAAATAAGAACTAAAGAAAAATTATGCCTAACCTAGTATCTTAATCCCCTAACATATGAATTACAAGAGAACTAGAAAAACATGTAACAATCACTCTTCCTGGGTGGTAAAGCTACTAATTTTTTTATTAATTTCTGTATTTTCCAAATATTCTGTAATTTGTGAAAATTATATTTATTATAAAAGATATCATTATAGAAGAGCTAGTATTAAATGTTCAAATGTACCATGTAACTTGTACATAATGATTTTGAGTCTGGTTTCATGTTTCAAGAGTTAATTTATTACGGTGAAAGTTCTCTCTATAAAGGGATCCTGAAGAAATAGTAAGGGGTTTTCCACAGAAATTCTCAAGGAAAAACAGATCATTTCACAGTGCAAACCAGCAACGTTAGGTGGCATGAGTGCTCCAGATGCTAAACCACAAAGCGCAACACTTGCCTGAAAAGAGCTTTGAGATTTTCTGGCAATTCGGTTCGACCAGCATATCCTGGGTTCATAGTAATAAATATTCCAACTGATGGCTTCAGCGTGATAGCTTCCCCAAGAAATACAAATCTACCAGAAGAAGAATGTTGATGGAGTTAAACTTGTTCATTGAATATGAATGCACATTGACAAATGCAAACCACTGCAAAATGCAAATTATTATTAGGAAACTATTTATTCTGTGCAATTTTCTTTAAAATTCAAACACATACATATTGTGAATGTGTTCTGAAGCGTGTTTATTAAAAATACACTCCCTTCCCCCAAAGGAATTACAAATACAGCCAGCGTTCTTTTATATTTTAGCACTGCTGCCGTAGGCAAGAATATCAAAAATGAGGACTTGACTACTTTAACAGTTAATGAAAGGTGATGCTATTTTTGCCTTCAACGTGGGCTGCAGTTCCTGGAATGGGACATGGTACAGATGGAGAATGCCCGTGCGAAGAGGAGAGAGGGGCTCCTTGTTCAGTTGTTATTTGGTTATTTGGTCTATTTGCTTGCTCCCTGTCTCCCTCCCTCCCATTTATTCAACAAATATCACTGATCACCACTGAGAGGATAGAACAGAGTGGGGCTTATGACAGCGAGCTCTGGACCCGGACTGGGAGCACACAGAGACAAGCTGTATCACTTCAGGCATGTTCCATCCCCTTAACTAATTAAAACAAGGGGGATGGGAGGAGGCTGTAGCTCAGTGGTAGAGCTATGCTTAGCATGCACGGGGTCCTGGATTCTATCCCCAGTACCTCCAGTAAAACAAAAATTTTTTAAAAAAATTAGTAAACCTAATTCTCTCCACCCTTCCACCCCCTCCCCCTGCTAAAAAAGACACTTAGTAACACAATGGTAAATGAGACCAGTATCCAGTATCAGATGCCCGTATTAGAAGGTAATTGTAAAAAGAAATGTAACATAGAAATAACCGTTATTAAATTCTGTTGAAGGTTGTTGTTAATCTTAAAAAAAAAAAGGTGGGGATAATAATATTACCCACCTTACTGGATGATATGAGGATTAAAAGGGATCGTGTATATAAATGGCCCAGAGTACAATGCCTAGACAGTGGTAAATACTCAACAGGTGTTATGATCATTGCTCTCATCATCACTTGAAGCATTGGAGAAGCAGCGGAAGATTTTCAGAAGCTTTGGAAGGGCCATTAGGCTGCTGCTGACCAGGGCAGTGGGATGGTAAAGGGCTGTAGGAGCCAAACTGAAGACAAGGAGAAGGAAACTTTCAAACAGGGGTCAAGGAGACAAAGTAGAAGGCGTTCTCTTGGTGAGAAGGTGGGGGGTGCTGAAGTGGTTGAGGAGCTGAGTCTACATCACTGAGCTGGGAGGGAAAAGAGACAACCACATTTTTAGGACTGAGCTTTTGAAATGTTAGGTAATGAAGAGAAGGTGGATTGTGTACAGTTAGGGTAAGAATGGAAAAAATCTCCATTCCCAGAGTATCAGCTAAGGAAGGCAGACGGGCCTGGCAGAGCAGCTTGCAGGAAGAGAGGAGGCTACTGTAGCAGGAACATGAGTCCTCTTCCATTCCATGCAGCAGGGACAGCCATGAGTCCAGGGGGCAGAGCCAGCAAGATGCTGGAAGGCTTCGGGGCTGAGGCATGGCCATCTCTTAAATCCTTGCATATCAAAAGGATTTAATAAAACTCGTGAAATTGTGAAGAAGCCTAACCAACTGAATAGGGGCCAGCATGAGGAAGAACAGCTATAGTTCACACACAGAGACCAAGGGGACTGCCAAGAAGCAAGGCTGGGAGTTTTTGAGAATCCCTGCATGGATCAGTTATCTAAATCTCCGTAAGGAAGAATGGCCTCAAACGCATCTGGGTTACGTCAGATAGTAAGATTTTGCCTGAAAGCTAAATCAAATATGTTTGGGGACCAAAAGGAAAGAATCTAATTTCTCAAACATGCCATGGGAGCAGGGACAGGGAAGGCAGCGGATATCTGGTCACAGCAAATTGGTGTCCTAAAGCCATGCAGCAGAAGGACTAAGAAGCTCCCTAGAAGGTGGGAACATCCAGATGTAGCTATACTAACTGGAAATAACAGGCTTACAGTCCCAAGGGCCTAGGTGATCTTTCCTTGACTGGGAATTTGACATATCCTTGTAGATAAGACAAGCTAGCTGAGCAGAATGTCCTAACAAATGGGAGTAAATGGATAGACCAAACAAATGAGACTCACTGTATGCAAAAACATCACAGAGAAAGCTGCAACTGTGTACTATCAATGCTTATTTCTCAGAATAAGCCATCAAACCCTAAGAGCCAGTCACGTTATGTCTTTCAGAGAGTGGTATCACACTGAGAAGCGGTTAGGGCTATTTGGACGTATTTGGAAGGTTTTTGGCCCAAGTAACTGGAAGAATGGGAGAGTGTATTCTACTGGGACAGGACAACTAACAAAGCAGGTCTGAAGGAAAGACTAGGATTTTGATTTGGATATATTAACTATGACAGGCTTATGAGACATCAAATGGAGTCTTTTGATGCCTCAAGACAATGGCTTATGTTGTCTGTGTAAATCTAAGATATGAGAGAAAGGCAGCCTGGGCAGCTGGTAGCCAGCAGCATAAATATGATACTGGAAGCCACGTGACTACATGAAATTACCTAGGGAACAGATAGAGAGAGAGAAAAGAAGAGGCCCAGAGAGTGAGGCCTGAGACGTTCAACATTGATAGGTCAGGAAATTATCAGTCATAGCTGACACTGATAGAGTATTACTATGTGTCAGGCTCCGCATTTAATCCTCACAGAAATCTACCAGGTGGGTACCACACTTTCCCCCATTTTACAGACAAGAAGAAATCAACAAAGGAGCAGCCCTGAGGGTGGGGGAAAACTGGGAGGAGGTGGGGGCCTGGAACCCACATGATGAAAGTGTGTCACACAGAAGAGAGGGATCAACTGTGGCAAAACTGCCAGAAGGTCAAGTAAGACCAGGACTGAGAACTGATAAACTGGATTTAGTGTTGTGTTGTAGAGGGTGGTTACTGGACTTAGCGTTGTAGAGGGTGTATATTTAAGTGATGAAAGTAATGGGATACACCTTTATCACATTCAACATTTAAAAAACACTGCTAAAACATGGGAGGTTATTCAAAAGAATTGTTCACCATGAACAAGTCTCTCTTATTGTATCCATTTCACAGGATGGGGAGAGGCAGCAGACTGTGAAGATGAGGTTTACCATGTTGCTCCATGTTTCTCTCCTTGTAACAGGACGAGGAAGCCACACGTCACTCACCTCGTCTTCCTGTTTCTGATGGCATCGTGTATCATTTTCACCTGTACCGCCACCACTGACAAAACTTCCACAGAGATTCGATTGAACTCATCAAAGCAGCCCCAAGCGCCTGTCTGCACCAATCCCTTGTAGATATTTCCTATGGACTTAATGATGGAGTGAGGCGTCAGGAATTCAAAGAAACAAGTTTTAAGCTGTTAGTCTGAATCATTTCCAAACAGGAATAATATTGTTAGAATATATCGTTTTATAACTAACTTACTTTGTAGTCCATTTGCTCTGAACAGTTGAATACATAGACCATCATCCCAAGGGCACGTCCGAGATCTTTGGTGGTTTCTGTTTTTCCTGTTCCAGCTGGGCCTGCTGGAGCCCCACTCATGGTTAGATGAAGTGACTGAGTTAAAGTGATGTAACACCTTTAAGCAACAGAAGACCCAAATATTATAGTCTAATACGAGATTTCTAGAAAACTTCAGGGACAATCTAATTTTTTTTTTAAATTTAAGAACTCCAGGTCTAGAATGTGGTAGTGACATAAAATATTGAAACACTACTAATTTGTTCATGGTAAGACTCAGGATAATATTATAGCAAATTTAATTTTAGGTTGGCTGTTTAAAAGTAACAGAGAAGAACATATTGCTTTATTTACTTGTCTCATTTCCTAAGAGCTGTGTATTTGAATACAAATGACACCTGATTTGCAATGCTCTTGAATTTCTGATATTTCTAGGTAAACATATTGTTAAAATGGCAGACAACATCTCCAACTATTGTTTAATTAATTGAAAATTAGAAGAGAAATCTCAGATGATGAATGAATTAAACACTAACTTCATTAAATTGCTACTTACTACATTGAGATACGTAAATATATAAATAGAGTATGCAAATAATATATACCTATTTCACTGTACAATGCAAATATAACAGGCACAGTTTATTACATTAAAATGTATTCAGGAACTCATTTTGAATGTGGTGCTGCATGAGTTTATATTATAATAAGTATTTTTTCAGGAGAGATTCAGCAGTTCTTAGACTGAGGAAAATGGTGCAAAGACAGAATTTAATACTTGTTAAAAAAAAAAAAGGAAAACTAAAAAATGGCAAGGACCTAATGGGGTTTCTGCTGATTCATGAATTATTTTTGTCTTAATACAGAAGTGGATCGAGTGTGAAGATACACATACTGAAGACCAGGAACTAGTGTCTACTCTGCCAACCATCAGATGCTAATCTTAAATTAAGTTTTTGACATCAACATGCCTCGGTTTTCTCTGCCATAAAATGAGGTTTATTGTAGGGGTATATTAAGAAAGCCAGTCCTACAATGTGGCCAGCTGGTTAAGGCAATAGAGTGCTAAGAAAGCCAAAGGTAAATGTCTTTAAGAATGCAAAGTACTATGTAAACAGAAGCAATTACTTACAGAAATGGGAAGTGTTTCTGTATTTTAACAGCCATCAAATTTCAGTGCATCTTACAATGAATATGGAGTAGCAAGACAGCTGGACTAGGAATTATAGCACTTTTTATGGTACAGACTGTCCCCTAATAATCTTTTCTTGTGGTTCCAAGGTTTATCAGACATATGACTGCCTCTACACTGCAGACTACTCTTGTGCTGAAAGCAGTACATAAATTAAGATAGTGAACAGTGACTTTTAGTTAGAGTCCAATTATGGAGGACTGAACAAGAGAAATGGAATTAAAGGAGCCATACAATTGAACACACACAAAATCATGAGCAGATTAGTATGTGGAAGAACCAATACAAAGCTAGCAAGGAAGTTCCACCGACCTCCCAGGACCTCCACCACAACCCAGATCGACAGAGTACTTGAAACCCCTTTCCCACCTGACATACCTGAGCCAAAGAGAGCTCTCTGTCTATCCCACGAACTGGCCAAGCTCCTTTCCATCTTCAATACTTTGTATTTGCTATAACTTTCTGCCCCAGGACATTTGCACAGCTGGTTCCTTGTTATTATTTGGGTCTCAGCTCAAATGTCCTCCCACAAAATCTATAGCAGGCTCTCCTTCAAGATACTTCCTAACACGTCACTCCATTTGATTTTTGTCATAGCAACTATTCCTACCTCACTCAACTTTGTTGATTTGTTTATTCTTCCTCTTCATTCCCAGCCACTCATATGCCACACTCCACTAGAAACTGCATTCTCTGAGAGCAGGGACCTTGCTTGCATCATCTTGGGACAGCCCTCAGCACAGCACTTCAGAAGTAGTATCATCATGGAATTGTTTATGGTCTCCCACTTTTTTTTTCCTTTCATTTGTATGTCATCCTTCAAACATGAATCTGACCAGAGGCAATTCCAGTTTTTACACTTCCAATAAAAGGATGCAGTGGGAGAGGTAGTTACACACCCTGGTATCAGGATGTTAGCCAGAAATCACCAAAGAGAATGGATTCTGTGATCAAAGATGCTGTGTTGAGCCTTATTAACTGCTCATGATTTCACGATGTGAATACTGCACAGTGTCTGTAATTTTGCTTTTCTAATTTGGTTCTCGTTAACTTGTCTCTAGAAAGTCAACATTCACTATGTCACTAAATTAGTTCATTTATATTGCTTTCAAATAGATTCCCAGTTTGTTCATCATTTTCACTTATTCCTTTATTTTCAAGCTCACACATCCTTACCCATTTTGGGGGAGTTTTGGGGGGGCATTGGTTTTTCCCATTTGACTCAAACTTATCATTGTTACCTGTCAGTTAGAGGAGTGATCACTAGTCGAGGACTGTTTCCTAAATATTCATAGAAGTACTGGAACTGGGCATCACAGATATTAACAAGACAATGTTTCTGGGTGTCCTCCCACTGGTGACGAAGTTGAGAGAGCCAAGCAAAAGCTTGGGGACTGACGACCTAAAAATATCACATGATCACTGCACGCAGGACACTGAGAGTTTCAAGACAACAACCTACTAATCTAATCAGCTCGGTTGATTCACATTTTATTTCTAAAAATCTCACAATAAGGAAATCTCTTGCATGCTACTGCAAATCGTAGTTACATGTAGATGGCTGGATACTCAATCAGAAATATGTGTGTAATAAAAGTCTTCATTTTAAGAAGGCTTTTACTGTAAAGCAAAATCAATTTGTTCAAGCAATGCTTTGTCCCCTTTTATCAATCACCCCAGGGGATTTGATCACTTATGTAACTTTATACTCATATCACTGAAATTAAATGAAAAAACACACTCTGTAATAAAATAGCACATAATCCATTATTTCTGCATGTTTGAGATAAAAACAAACTATATTTTCCATACAGTCCATTCTAAAACCAGTCTGATTTTAACAGAGCTTTCCCACTTCATTTTTTGTAAAACCAAATGACATTGTTTTTTTCATTGCTTTTCTTTCCTATCTTACTCAAACTTATCCATTCTTCTATCAGTTTGAAAAATAATTCCAGTCTCTTTCAAGATCCATAGGACCCTAGGATTTCATAGGAATCATTTGAAGTTACTAAAATTATTATCTACTAGTCTGATGTCTATGTAAGTCTCAACACTGCATATTTATGTATACCAAATGATCAGGAATTAAACAAAGCCTTTATCTCTTTAAGAACAAAATAAAGGACATATTTTAAATCATAATTTATCCTGCTGCAAGCAAATTACCACTGATAAGACATAATAAAATATGCAAGGTCGTATTCAAAGAGTGGTTATCAATGACTCATTATCCAAGTGAGAATACATGGTAAGTGGTGTTTTGCGAGGATCAGTTTCGGATTAGTAATTAAACATTATTCACTCATTTTCATTCAGCATTTTCATCAGTCATGGTCCTGAACCTGGATCAAGAAGTATTTTTTTTTTAAGTTTATGGCTTACACGAAGTAAGCATTTGCTTGTAATTTGTAGAGAGAATTAAAACTCACTTTGATTTTAATAAGTTGAGGAAACACTAGAAAAGCAACAGAAAACATCTCACAATACAAACACGCATTCAAATGGTGAAAGGAATCGCCACCCTCGAAAAACAAAAGGGATTTGGAATAAGTGATGGGCATGATATGCCAATGTTGTTGCAGACAAGCAAGCACACTTTCGATATTTTAAATAGGCGAATATTCTGGGTAAGGGTGAGAAATTCTCCTTCCACATTAAATACTGCCTGTATCTAAGAGACACAGGGACTTTTTAAGGAGGTAAGGAACGAAGGTTAATAACACACTGAAAGGACCAGAAAATAATTTCTTTAAAGAAAGTAATTTAGCTTTGAATGGAAAAGACAAAGGGTGCTCAACATTTCTCTTTCTTCAAGAGGAAAATAGTCAAAGGCACACGGAGGTGATTTAAACGACACAGAATCTTAACTGCTACTGGCTGGATAAGCCACAGAGGTGATCATCACAGGCCAATGGTCCAAGATGCGTATGTGTAGAGAAGTCAAAAGATGGGAAAATAAACAAGTGACTTCTTGTGGTTCTTCCCTTCTGGATTAATTTTTAGATGGTCTCAACTAGAGGCTCCTGTCTTGGCAAAATCCTTTGGGACATACCTTGGGCTAACTCTTGCAAGGATAATTTATGAGCTATAACCCAAATGAAATGTACAGAAAGTACAATTAGCTACTTCGGTCTAATGACAACACATAAACCTAAAAAAATAATGACTTCCTTAGAAGTATTCTTGATAGTAAACACCATTTTCAGGAAAGAGCAAACAATAAATGAAATTTCCACAAACAACTTGCCTTCTGAGAAATAAGTTTTGCCACCACATCTCTGGCATGGACATCTATGGTGCAAATTGTCATGATCTTCTGCCTGTCTCCAGGTAGAAGTTCTCCCAGCAAAAGTGCAATCAGTGTATTCAGCTGAGCAATCTACAAGGAATTTTTTAAAAGGAGATTAAAAAAAAGTTACAAATATAGAGTCTTACAGCCCAATCGTCTTCATATTTGTAAAGAGTGCTTTAGTTTACAAAACTATTTCAAAATATTGTCCCAGCCAGTCCTTAAACAACCATAGGGCTAGCAGCAAGAGGGAGGATGTTATTAAATTAATTAAAATCAAGTAAATAATATTACTCCTCTCTCACCCCTCAAACTGAGACTCAGAGAAGACAGGTCAGCCTGCAGGTAATGACAAAGCCAGAAGTGGAAGCAGTTTCCTGGCTGCAATGAACTGACTCTCCATCTAATGACAATCTGTCCACAACTGTGCTGGAAGAGAAATGACTACAAATTTTAAAAGTTCAAACTGAGCTACTTCTGTCAAAGTATAGAAAGTTCTAATTACCAAGTCCTTTTTTGTTTGTTTGGTTTTGAGGGTTTTTTTTTGAGGTTTTTTTTGGTTTGTTTTTTCGCTTAGGATATAGGATGATTAATTCAAAAAGATTTAAAATATACAGCTTAAGGTTATCCCATTTAATTCTCTTATTCATATTCCTATTCTTGTTTAGCCCACCAATTTCTTAGATCAATATTTTTCAAACTGCTGGTCTCTTTTCATAGAATGCAAAGGAATGGAATGGAATGACATGGAATACAAAGGAATAAAAATGTTGCATTATGGTGGTAAGAATATGTATTGTTCCGTGAAATTGTTTCAGGCTCATACTGAGTGTTTACACACATGTAAACTTGCTCTGATATAAAATATTCATTACCATTAATTGTGGTCAGAAAGGGGTAAAAGATACTCTCTTACGTGGTGATTTCGTTAGCATGTCTATTTAGGCAAAACATTTCTGTCCTATTCAAGCCTTATTAACAAAAAGTTTTTGCCTTATTCCAGGGTAGCACACTGTAAAACAATACTGTCCCCTTTCCTTTCTAGCTCAGCAAAGGACAGTCAATTACAAACAGTTAGATCCTATCAGAATTGATTTTAAGTGAACATATACCACTAAAGGCTCTCAAACCTGTGTATCTACTATCAAAAACATATTCCCTATAGCACTATTACCACATTCCAGAAAATGCCAAGGACTGCAGGTTTCCCTGAGATTGCTGTGCAGCTGAACTGGGGAAGGTTACAGAACTACAGTGCGAATGGAGAAGGCGGGCAGGAAAACAGGAACTGTAACATGCACAGTTCACATTACATGAGAGTGTGCAGTGCACTGGCACTAACTAAAATTACGTGTCTGTATTGTCTCATTTAATCTTCACAACAGTCTACCATCCTAATTTGCATATAAAAAAAACAGAGTCACGGGCATATTAACCACATTTGCCAAACAGGGGAGGGGGAATTCAAATCCTGACAGTCTGACTTTAGAGCCTGAGTTCTTTCTGATCACATCACAAGGATTCCCCTTATCAGCCTCCACAAGATCAGTCCACCTGCCACTTTCCAGGTGGAGAAATTGCAGTTGTGCAAAAAGCATTCCGGAAAGACTGAAAATGAAGAGTTGGCTCAGAGGAATAAAAGCATGTATTTCAGGCATTCAGAATACATAGCCTTTCAGCATTAATCTACTTTTAACATCTTCCATTTATCAAACATAGCTACATGGTAACAAAAGCAGAGGCGATCACTATTTCATGTATGCCATGTTCAGTGTTGATCATACTCTAGATTTTACATTCCAGGAGTGCAAGGTCTGTGTCTATCCAGTTGAGTGCCTTGTTCCCAGAGCCACTAAGAAGTTAGCAGCTGGACAGCAGGTGCACAATGTTGGCTGAGTAGATGAATAAATGTACAGTAATAGCCTATGCACAGGTAAGTTTCTCAACAAAATGTATACGCATGTTGGTTAGAATACAGGTATTTTCGCACTGGATATTTTCTCATCTGTGTCAAGATACCCAGTCTTTAGAGTCTCAAATTTTACACCAGTACCAGTACTTGGTTACAAAGAGTCGGCTGTATCAAAAGAAATAATATTATATGTATCTTAAGGACATTTATAATTTCAAGTGCCTTCACAAGCACTGTTTTGCCTGAGCCTTCCTAAACCTGTGATTTCTCCATTATCAATTCCTTTTATACAAAAGTTCAGTCAAGCGAAAGATGATTAAAGAAAGTAATTTAGCTTTGAATGGAAAAGACAAGGGGTGGCCAACATTTCTCTTTCTTCAAAAGGAAAATAGTCAAAGGCACACAGAGGTGATTTAAACGACACAGAATCTTACTTATCTGGATAAAGATGATGTGGTGTATATATATATATACAATAGAATATTACTCAGTCATACAAAAGAATGAAATAATGCCATTTGCAGCAACATAGATGGACCTAGAGATTATCATATTGAGTGAATTAAGTCAAAGACAAATATCATATGATATCACTTACACGTGGAATCTAAAAAAAATTGATACAAATTCTATTTATAAACCAAAAGCAGACTGATCAACATAGAAAACAAACTACGGTTACCAAAGAGGAAAGGGCAGGGAGGGCTAAATTAGGGGCTAGGGATTAACAGACATATTACTATAAATAGATAAACAAGGGCCTAGTGTATAGCACAGGGAACTATATTCAATTTCTTGTAGTAATATATAATGGAAAAGAATTTGAAGAGAAAATATGTACATATATGCATAACTGAATTACTTTGCTGTACACCTGAAACTAACATTGTAAATCAACTACACTACAATAAAATTTTTTTTAAAAATACAGCTCATTCACATGATCTGGACAGCAACATATATTGGGGATCTTGTATTGTCTCCCAGGATTAAACTTTCCCAATGATGCTCCTTTGTAAGTAATAGAATTCTGTACCCGCCCCAACACAAATACTAGTTATAAAAAGCCTATCATTTGGACAATGGCATCAGGCAGCAATTACTATACAGTTATATTGTGACCACATACAAGCTTATGGCCTGTGACATGTATAAAACATTCCTCAGCAGCTTTAAAGAAATATAAACTTTATTCATGTAATCAGCATGTACTCTTGCCCTTGATCAAAGAAAGGTCACATGATTTTTTTTTTTTTACTGGATCAAGGATGTTTACCTCAAGTCAAAAACAGCCCTCGAGAAATGCAAATCAAAACTGCAATGGAGATATCACCTCATACTGGTCAGTATGGCCATTATTAAAAAGTCCACAAACAATAACTGCTGGAGATGGTGTGGAGAAAAGGGAATCCTGCTACACTGCTGGTGGGAATGTAGTTTGGTGCAACCACTATGTAAAATAGTATGGAGATTCCTCAAAAAGCTAAAAATAGACTTACCCTATGATCCAACAATCCCACTCCTGGGCATATATCTGGAGAAAACTCTAATTCAAAAAGATACATGCACCCCAATGTTCATAGCAGCACTACTTACAGTAGCCAAGAAATGAAAACCACCTAAATGTCCATCGACAGATGAATTGGTAAAGAAGATGTGGTCTATAATATATACAATGAAATACTACTTAGCCATAAAAAAGAATGAAATAATGCCATTTACAGTAACATGGATGGACCAAGAGATTATCATAAAAAGTGAAGGAAGTCAGACAAAGAAAGACAAATATTATGTGATGTCACTTATATGTGGAGTTAAAAAAAAAGACACAAAGGAACTTATTTACGAAACAAAAATAGACTCACAGACATAGAATATAAATTTATGGTTACCAAAGGGTAAGGGGGGAGGGATAAATTAGGAGTCTGGGATTAGTAGATACAAACTACTATATACAAAAAAGATAAACAATAAGGTCCTACTGTATAGCACAGGGAACTATAGTCAATGGCTTGTGGTAACCTATAATGAAAATGAATATGTGTCTATATGTATAACCAAATCACTATGCCGAAGACCAGAAACTAACAGAACATTGTATATCAACCAAACTTCAACAAAAAGGGGAAAAAATTCATTATAATTGTCTTACTAGGGCAAGTACTGAGTACTATGACAGAACATAGAAATAGGATCTTGCTTAATCTGGGGCTTGGAAAGACATTTTGGAGGAAAGGGTATTTATGCTAAGACCCAAAGAATGAGTACAATTTAGGTTGTAGAGAATTTAGGGGTTGCCCACTCAGGGAGTCTGCATTTAAGGCACCAGAAGCAGCTCAGGATGTGGCAGGTGGCCGTGTGAGGGAACAGAAAGAAGTCTGGATGGTGAGAGGGGAGGCAGAGGTGGAGCAGGTGGGTAGGAACACCGGAGAGGGACACAGGGCTAGGCCAGCCTCCTGAGAAGTCTCAGCTTCACTCCAAGGGCTTGAGTGAGATGCCACTCAAGGGTTTTAGGAGGTGGTGGTGGGGGAACAATCAAGTTTGTGCTTTTAAACTATTCTTCCGCCTACAGTAAGATTAATTCGAGGGAAACAAGACTGGAGGAAAATGACCAGCGAAGAGGATGCTACAGTTATCTAGCTGAAAAAAGAGAGTGGCTGTAACCAGGTATCCACAAAGCGGTAGAGGAAAGAGTGAGAATAAATATACTGAGGGTAACAGAAGAGAGTTGGGGGTTGACCAGCTAACAGGTAAAGGAAGAGTCAAATGGGCTTCTAGTGTGAGCAACTGGTGAAGAGTGCTGGTGTTTTCATGAACTTGGGAGCATTGGATAAACGGGTTTTGAGAAGGCATTTTGAATGTTTTAAGCTGGATGTGCCTGTCAAACTTCCAATGGCCAAGTCCAATATGCTTTTGACTGTGCTTCAGGAGAAAGGTCTGAGCGGGAGTTCAAAGTCATCAGCATATTATAAAAGAACCTGAGTAGCCACACAAGTAGATGAGATGAGGTGGAAAGAAAAAGGGACCCAAGTCAGAGCCATAAGGAATGGAGACAATTATGGGGCAGGAGGAGGAAGAGGAGAAAGGAAAGAAAATTGAAGAATAACCCAAAAAGTAGATGGAAAAGTAGAATTCAAATAAACACAAATATAAGGAAAGAGAATACTTGAAGAAGGAG